CCCGTCGCGGACCAACTCCCATCTGGCCTTCTTGTCCAAGTCTACCAGCCGCACTCTATCGCCCGAATCCGAGCTGATCCGCATCTCGTCGGCCATCCTAAGGATGCAGGGATGGATTTGTGTGTGTGTGTGTGTGTGTGTGTATGTGTGTGGTGCTGGGGGGCTTACTGTGGCTGTTTGCGGAGTGTGTTGACGTAGCGGGAGAAGGCGCATTTGCGCTGGTGAAGCTCATGCCTGAGGGCCTTGACCTCCTCCTCGGGCTGGCCCTCATACAAAAGGAACGGGTCGACCTCCTCCCACACACTGCTGCGGCGGCTGCTGGCGGGGCGTGACTTGGAGGACAACGGGTCGGACGGCGGTGGTCGGGGCGTGCACTTGCCGCTGCTCGTCATACTCACCAGCAAGTCAATCGCTCGCCCCATGTCTGCACAGCACAGCACAGCCAACACACACACCAACACAGACACAGACACACAAGTGCACGTGCACATCACGTGCCTGGCCCCCCCACACTGTGCGGCCCTGTGCGGTGTTGTGCGTACCATTGCGGCGGGCCAGCAGCGCGAATTCGGCGTTGAGCCTCGGGAAGCCCATGGCCACGAGCCCTTGCACCTTGTCCTGGTCCAGCCGCGTGACGCCGTGGCCACTTCGGTGCTCTGGCGGGGGAGTGACGTCGCCGTAGCCACCTCGGCGCTGCTGCTGCTGCTGCTGTGACGGGGGAGTGAAGTCCGGCACCCGCATCGTCGCAGGCCTGTTGGGAGGAGTGCCAGGGCCGGGAGACAATGTCATGGGCATGTTGACCGACCGACGACCGATGAAGGCAATTCAGTGACCGACAAACAAGACAGCCGAGGGAATCAACCACCGAAGCAACCGACGCCCAACGAGCGAAGCGAAGCGAAGCGAAGCAACAACTACAGTGACCTGCTGCACAGAAACACAGACAGCGCCAGACAGACAGAGAGTACAGAATCATGCCAATTCCATGACCGCGGTAGGGTCATCCATGATGCACATGTGCAGTGCGTCACAGCCAGCATGGCACGCCGTGCCAGCATGGCATGCAGCGCTTACGTCAGTCAACACTCAGCGCCGTGCGCGTGCGGCACCGATGGATGCCGTCACTCGACCGCTGTCTCAACGCGATACAAAACAGACAGACTGCAGAGGTCGCTTCTGCAGTGGTCAGAACCAACCCCACAGAGAGCTCCGCAGAGAGAGCTCTAGGCCTGCAACTTGCTCCCCTCACTCTAGCTTTTGAGCTCGCAAATGAGCGCGATCCACGCTACTTGGCCGCGTGATGAGTTCTCTGTGATGGGTGAATCAGCCGCCCAGCCTCTGTTGTGACGACGTTTTGCCACCTGCCATCGCTCCCGTGCCGACTCTCTGCTGTAAGACGAGCCATACAGCTAGCAGCAGCGGCCACAGCACTGCTGCTGATATCGAACCACGACGGCAACATCTTGCCAAGGGTGAGCAGCGAATGCATGACGTTGGATGGATGCATGGATGTCGTTCCATAGATGTCGTTGCTGCTGTGGTTGGTGCCTGCCTGCAGGTCTGTATCGTCTGACGGAGTAGCTGCTGAGCCTCAGGATGGCGCATAAGGAGGACGGCTACGTGAAGCTCATCGTCGGCCTCAAGAAGGACGTCTTCTACGAGAAGAAGTCGCTGCTCGTCCATATGTCGCCGTTTTTCGACCGCATGTTGGAGGGCGATATGGCCTGTGCTGAGAGGGAGACCCACACCATCGCGCTACCCAACATTCACCCCAACACGTTCCGCCACATCAGCACATTCGCCACGCTGCACGACGTGCAGGACGAGGCCACCACCAAGCAGTATCTTCAGAACCTCTCGCGCCGCCCTGGAGCGCTCTCGCTCTCGCTGCCGGCAGCGGACCAGTCGGACGACGAGGCGGCCAAGACGGGCCTGCTGCACCTGTGGTCCGCCTGCAACTACCTCGACATGCAGAACCACGCGCGGATGGTGATGGAGCGGATCATGGACAGCTTCACCAGGTCGGACCCGGCGGCCAACATCGGCGTGTTGTCGTTCCTGCTGCGCGAGAAGCCCGCTCTGGTGGAGGACCAGCAAGCCAGGTGAATGCAGGCATTGATTGACCCACAGAGAGAGGCTCACCAACGGTGAGGTTCCATGGTCAGGGGCTTTACGGTGAGGCACATGACGATCAAGATCAAGGGAGGGGCGGAGAGGGAGGCGGGGGCCGTGCAGAAGCTGATGCTGGAGCTGCCCGTGTCGTGGTGGGACAATGTGATGGACAACCTCGACCACCAAGTCGTCGAGCTCTCACGTTGGTTGCCTGAATGCATGGCATGCAGCAGGATGATTGTTGTCACGTGCGTCTTTGTGTCTGCCTGTCTGTCTGCCTGTACTCTGTGTGTGTGTGTGTGTGTGTGTGTGTTAGGTCGTTTGGGAGCCTTGAGCAGCGAGCGCAACGCGGGAGCCTCGAAGAAGCGCAAGGTTGCTCCAACTTGTGAGAGTGATGATGATGATCCGGTGATGATCGTGTTGTTGGAGCCGACGACGAGGCAGGAAATGCAGCAGAAGGAGGCCCAGCTCGCCAGCATCAGGAAGAGCATCAAACTGCTGCGCACACAACGTACGTAGGCACCGAGTGAGCCACGAGGGCAAGGGATGGCCACACGTGAAGACACATACATACACGCCCTCCCCGCCCCGCCTCTGTTCTGTGCTCGGTGCTTATGTCTGTGTGCAGGTTTGGCGGCTGCCGGTGATGTGTAGCTGCCGTGTGTGATAGTAGCGCCAATTGCAGGATTCGGGTCGGGTGGTACTTCTAGTATGTATCGCACTGCCGATTGTGGCAGATGGCCCGGTTCCGACGTCGGTAGCGAATTGCCCGGCAAAGGTGCATGTATGGCTTCCCTGTAGAGAAGAGGGAGAGACTTGTTGGTTGGGTTGAGGGAACGACGTCCATCAATGCATGCAACATGACCACCCATTCATGTGTCAACCAATCACACTCGTGGTTCTGTCTCTGCACGAACGCCTCGTGTGTCTTTTCGGATGGGCGAGAGTTGATTGGTTGTGCAGCGGCTGTCTCTTCCTCGCTGATTAGGTGTCCTGCGACTTGTATCGATGCGAGTCGTCTGATTCCTACGCAGCGGGGGCGATCGAATGGCCGCTGGAGGAGCCAGCATCCATCCACCTATGTGTGTAATATGTACCCACCTCCTTGGTCGTTGCTGGTACGAAAGAGCTGCCGCGACTGCCGTCGTCTTGCTTTCCGCTGTGGTGACGCCGAACTGTGAGGCTGGATCGGCTCTCTCACTTGTCCGTTGCCGTGGTGGGGGCAAGGACAGCAACAGACGGCCGCCTGACTGGTCGAGTGCACGGAATCCTGCAGACATGCACGAACATTGACGTGTGGGTGATAGGGTGGGTGGTGCACATACTTCAGAGGGGTGATTGGGTGGGAACAGACTGCGATTTGCGTTGACTTCATTCAATCGTCGGTGACACGCTTGCTCTGCTCACAAGTCCACTCACACAAACAAAAGCATGGAGGAGAACCATATTGATCATCTATGTCCTCACACTCGCCTCGCCTTGGATGATCGATGCCCATCCCATCCAGACCACACACGCGCATTGATCAACGCTGCACCACTGGTAATACTAGCAACACCAACCCTACCTAGCGCCTGTCTGTGATCTCTCCGGCAAGGCATCCATTTTTCTCTCCAGCAACACCACCACATGGCACTCAATCGCCCTGTTTTCCCCCACAGAGTCGACCTTCTCGTGTGTCCGTGCCTTGATGTTGACCTGCGATGGGGGCACCCGCATCAGCCGGCAGATGTTGTCCTTCATGCCCGCCTTGAGGTCCTTCACCTTGGGCCGCTCCAGGATCAACGTCACATCGACATTGCCCAGCCGATAGCCCCTCTCTTCCATCTGCCGCCATGCATCTGCACACACACACACACACAGAGAGAGAGAGAGAGAGAGAATGACTATGTGCTGGTCCGTGTGAGCATGTCGGTGCCGTAGACCCACCCATCTCACCTTCCATGAAGAGGTCTGAGCTGGCGTCCTTCCACTTGGGGTCCGTGTCAGGAAACTGCTGCCCGATGTCCGGCAGCGCCAACGCTCCAAACACAGCGTCACACAAACTGTGGAAGATCACATCGCCGTCAGAGTGCGCCTCAGTGCCCTTCTCATAGTCGATTTTGACGCCTCCCACAGTCAGCTGCAGGCCGGGCGCCAGCCTGTGGATGTCATAGCCGTGACCTATCCTCATCAGCGGCTCCGAATCCTCTCCCATTTCGCCCATCCGCAGCAGAAGCCGCCTCTCCATCAGCCGTGGCCGGATCTTCCCATCGACATGGACTCGTCGATATGGCCATACTGGCAGGGGGTGAGAGAGGGAGAGGAAGACAGCACCGGCAGGACCATCCGGGCAGCGTACACGCCTCATCTGTTTTGGCGAAGGGGGCTCCAGCAGGCCGGAAGACCTCCAGTGAGCATCGACGTGAGAGATCTCGTACACCATCGACGAGATGAGCGCAAATAAGCCCCTTGGCGCCTTCATCTGCAACAAATCGTCTTCCTCTTTCGTGTGGGGCGAGCTCGCAGGTGTGGGGGCTGCGAACAGTAAGACGTGACCACGGCTGCTGACGGCACTACAAGACTGCGAGAGAAGCACTTTCTGGAGCCGGCTGAGCTGCATTGGCTCGAGATCCGTTTCGTTGTCTCGTCGGCCAGCCATCTACGTGAGGGAGGGAGGGAGGATGTATCGCGCCATCCCAGTGGGCAGCAAGGTGTGTCACAAGAAGTGGGAGGAGCACCGGCAGCGCATCCATGAGAGGAACAAGGCCACCGTCAAGCCCAGCATCGACAATGCAGTTCCCAAGACATTCGGCAAGCCGCACATGCAGTGGAACGCAAAGAAGGAGGCGGCACTCGAGGAACGATACGTCGAAATCGACAGGCAAAACAGGTCGGCCAAGCTTGAACCCTCATCTCTCTCTGATGTCATCGATGGATGCAACTTTGTGTCTGGGCCGTTCGTTGTCTCCCTTGTCTGTCTGTCAGGATTCTGCTTCGTCGGATGTATGACATCATGAAGCGCCCAACCTACAGCCGCCTACGCCCCTTCACGGGCCTGTCGTCTCTGCACCGTACCTACAGGAAGCAGCAGGCTCAGCGCATCACGCAGGAGAACCTCCAGATCCTCCGGCGCATCCAGGAGTGCCAGCCGGTCATCTCGGCCATCGAGTGGGACGTCCACGCAAAGAACTCACTGGCCTACTACAAGAATGCGTGCGAGAACCCCGACGTGCTGCATGCCTTTGAAAGGCCGGATGACTTCAACCTGTCGACCTACCGCGAGTCGACTTGCTCGAGGCGGGGAGACAGGAGCCCTCGGGCAACCACCGACGGGTCAGGGAGGGTCAAGGAGGGATCAGCAAACAGAGAATGCCTCATGTATCTACCGCTTATCCTATCCTTCCCTGTGCTCTCCTTCTCATGCGTCCATCCCTCTTTGTGTGCATTCTTTCCCCCTCTCTCTGTGTGCCTTTTTTGTTCATCGCTTGTTGCGTGCAGAAGGAGGACGGCCCGCACCGAGGAGGAAAGGGCCTCCAAGAAGCCGCCCCGATCAGCGGCATCAAAGGAGAGTGGACGGCGGCCCCGCCCCGCCACCTCAGGCCACGCATCATCTGTGACGCGGCCTGAGGATCTCTTCTCGTACCGATCCAAGTCTACTGGGGGCGATGGGAGGGGGACCAAGAGCCAGAAGTTCGTACTCAAGGAGGGGCGCAAGATCGGCAAGGACTACTGGCTTATCGGTGGGTGGGTCAGGGAGAACAAGAGTAGAGACAGACAGGACTTTTGTGTCGTGTGTCTCTGGTCTGTGTGGTGTGTGGGCAGAGATGTCGACTGACGGTCCGGGGCTGCACGTGACAGCCTACAACGGCGACACGCAGGAGACGCTGGAGCTGCAGATCGATGAAACCCAGCACAAACAGCTCCTGGAAGTAACAAACAAGCCAACAAAAACCCTCACACAACACACAGCGGCCTCTCTCTCGTGTCTCCTTGTCTGTCAGGTCAATGGCGGCTACGGGCAGCTGGCCGACCGGCTGTCGGTCGAGGGCGGAAGCTTGGTCATCACGGCCCCCGCGTCGGCCCCCGCCCGCCCCGAGGCCACCCCCACACTCGGCAGCCCACGACCAGACGAGGGCGAGGGTGAAGCCCCCGCACCTGCTGTCGATGAACATGAAGAGCAGCCAGCGGATGTTGCGGATGTGGTGGACACTGATGAAGCTGCCGGTGGTGCTGGTGGGGATGCAGGTGATGGTGTGGGAGAGGAGGGCCAGGCGGACGAGACGGTGGCTGAGGAAGAGCAGGAGGAAGGGGCATAGAGTGAGTGACTTGTGTATTGCGTGCGCGTGTGGATGGGGTGGAATGCACATGCACCGACTGACTGACTGCAATTCCATTTTTTCTTTTACGAGTGACTGATTGTCGACTGTCGGATTGACACTGTGACATTGACTTTGTTCACATCTCCTTGAACGGACAACGAACGCTGACGAGAAGTAAATGTCACGTCCATTCATCGGTCCATCAGTGAAAACTGCCGTGGCTATGCGCTGCCCAGTGTGATCAGCGGCTCCACTGTCTGACACCATCGGGATGCTGATCACGGCGGGCCGCGCAAGTGCACAGACAGCCACTCACTGGTGGCCCGTTTCTATCTCATCACGCTCCCACACTCAGAGCAAGCCACGCCACCCCCGCTCAGCTCTGCATCTCTTCCGCTCTGTCGCGTAACGAGGCCCTCTCGCCCTCTGACGTGCGTGCATGGCCATGCAGGTGAACAGAAGCGAGCGATCAGGCCCCCGTCTGTTGACCTACAGAGCCATATCGTCACGACAGTGGGCGGAACGAAACCTTCGCAGATGACCACACACCACGCCACAGCCACCCCCCGCCCCCCTATACACACGTCCTTCCGTTAATGCACCCCTGCCTGCCTGTCTGTCTATCTATCTGACAGATGCGACACTGTTGAGCACCGTCCTCAGCTTGTCGGGTGAGATCCTCTCCTTGGTTGCCCCCTCGCCCTTGACCAGCACGTCTTTGACCCGGTCATCTTCACTCTCGCTGATCCGCAGCTCTCCGTTGGCCTCCTCGCGCCACCCGTGCTGCTTGATGAGCGCCGACAGCTCGGCTGATCCAGGGGGGAGACCCACATACTCAGACAGGGCTGCACACATCACATCCAATGAACAACAGATACAGTGAACATAAATGCGTATGCAGTTTCTCTGTCTGCCCACTGACCTTCTCTCGACAGAGCGGCGTATGCCGTGGCCACCACCCCACAGATGAACGTCCTCACCTTGGCCCGCAGCCCAGGGCAGCTCACCACATCGGGGTACTTGTCAAGGTCGCTCCAGAAGCCCTTGAAGTCGCATGTGTCGAGCTTGGCGGCCAGCCTGACCAGCTCAGTCACCTCGGGCATGTCCCTGAAGCGGTTTGGCGGTAGCTGGTACATGCACAGCTGGAAGTCGTTCTGGGGGAAGGTGGCGCCCAGCGCCTTGACCAAGATCTGCCGCACCCTGTCCTTCTTCATGTGCTGGGGATACATCAGGTAGAGCTTCAGGATGGTCAGGTTGGCCTCGACGTCGTAGGTGTCGTTGGCCCATTGCTGATCTAGGTACTCCTCGAGCGTCTGCAGGCTGTCGGCGCTGTAGAGGCCCTCGCCACCCAGGATCTGCCGCACAGCTGCCTTCACATCGCTCATCTTTGTCGCAGTAGGGTTTGCTGCTTCCTGTCAATCAGATTTGACCCCACAAACCCTGATCGAATCGGGCCCACGGTCGACAGCTCGCAGCGGCAGCGAAACGTCTAGAGGCAGAGGATCTGTGCGTGAGACTGTGCGTGTGTGTCAGAGGGTCAGCAGTGGTCAGTGATCTCTTGTCGCCATGGGGAAGGAGAAGCAGCACATCAACCTGGTGGTGATCGGTCACGTCGATGCCGGCAAGTCCACCACCACCGGCCACCTGATCTACAAGTGCGGCGGCATCGACAAGCGAACCATCGAGAAGTTCGAGAAGGAGGCAGCTGAGATGGGCAAGGGGTCGTTCAAGTACGCCTGGGTGCTCGACAAGCTCAAGGCCGAGCGCGAGAGAGGCATCACCATCGACATCGCCCTGTGGAAGTTCGAGAGCGACAAGTTCTACTTCACCATCATCGACGCACCGGGCCATCGCGACTTCATCAAGAACATGATCACGGGGACGTCACAAGCTGACGTGGCCATCCTCATCGTCGCTTCGGGACAGGGAGAGTTCGAGGCCGGTATCGCCAAGGAAGGTACGGACGGACAGCGGACACACAGGGTGGACACGGGAGAGAGGGGAAGGGACGGGGGAGGCAGATCTACGTGCGTGTGGGGGGAGGGAGGCAGATCTGGGGCAGCCAGAGGTGCATGTGTAGCCAGACGTGTCAGACACAGGCGTCTGGAGCGTGTGTGTTGTGTTGTGTGGATGAGATGAGAGATCTGTGGCTCCGTGTGCTGATGCACACCACACACATGTCCTCTGTCTGTCTGGTGTGTGATGTCCTGCAGGTCAGACCCGTGAGCACGCCCTGCTGGCTTTCACGCTGGGCGTCAAGCAGATGATCGTCGGCGTCAACAAGATGGACGACAAATCTGTCGGGTACGCACCGCACGCAACCGTCACCCACTCCCCCTCTCCCTCCCCCCTCCCACACACAGAGAGACACGACAAGGCGACACAACATGGTGTTCGTGTCGTGTGTGTTGTCTGTGTCGTGTCGGTCAGGTACAAGCAGGACCGTTACGATGAGATCAAGAAGGAGGTGTCAGGTTTCCTCAAGAAGGTCGGCTACAACCCTGACAAGGTGCCCTTCGTCCCCATCTCCGGCTGGAACGGCGACAACATGATCGAGGCTTCCACCAACATGTCCTGGTACAAGGGTAAGTGACTCGAACCGTCAGCCATACAACACACACCGACACACACACGATCTGCCACATGCACACACACATACACCTGCCTTGTCTGGTCTGGTTGGTGTGTTGTGGTGGTTTGGTTTGTCAGGTCCGACTCTGCTTGAGGCGTTGAACCAGGTGCAGGCGCCCAAGCGTCCGTCCGACAAGCCCCTCCGGCTGCCGCTCCAGGACGTGTACAAGATCGGCGGTATCGGCACCGTCCCCGTCGGACGTGTCGAAACCGGTGTCCTCAAACCCGGCATGGTAATCACTGCCCCTCCCTCCCTCCCTCCCTCTCCATGCACAAACCCATCCATCTGTGTGTGTGTGTGTGTGTCTATCAGGTTGTGACGTTCGCCCCTGTGAACCTGACGACTGAGGTCAAGTCGGTTGAGATGCACCACGAGTCTCTGCCCGAGGCTGCCCCCGGCGACAACGTTGGCTTCAACGTCAAGAACGTGTCGGTCAAGGAGCTCAAGCGGGGCTACGTTGCCTCCGACTCCAAGAACGACCCCGCCATGGGCTGCGAGTACTTCGTCGCTCAGGTACGTGTCGTGTCGGCCATTCTTGTGAGGGCGTGTGGGTGTTGCTGATGTGCGGTGTATTGGGTTGTGTGTTGTGCAGGTCATCATTCTGAACCACCCCGGTGAGATCAAGAACGGCTATGCGCCCGTGCTGGACTGCCACACGGCCCACATCGCCTGCAAGTTCGCTGAGATCCGCGCCAAGATGGACCGCCGATCGGGTCAGTCAGCTAGCCGCCTCACACACCATGCACCAGCGCCAGTCACATGACCACGTGTGTGTTTCCGTGTGGTTATGTGCAGGCAAGGAGCTGGAGAAGGAGCCCAAGGCCGTCAAGTCGGGCGACGCCGCCATGGTGCAGCTCATCCCCCAGAAGCCCATGTGCGTCGAGTCCTTCTCGGTAAGCACCCCAACCAAACCACCACCAGACCAGATACACCGACCATCCCATCAATCTCTGTTTGTATCAGGACTACCCGCCCCTGGGACGTTTCGCCGTGCGCGACATGCGCGTGACGGTGGCCGTGGGTGTCATCAAGGAGGTGTCCAAGAAGGAGGCCACTTCCGGCAAGGTCACCAAGGCCGCCCAGAAGAAGGGCAAATGAACCCCACTCGATGGCACCCGACAGCCATCCCCTCTCCCACTCACTCACACCACCACCACACACACGAGGGGGGCTGTCAGGAGAGAGGCGGTGCTTGCGTGTTGTGGATGTTGTCGTTGCGATGGAAATGGGCATCATCAGAGAAGCGAGGCGGGCCTGAGGGAGAAGGCGGAAACACGGCACAGGGACAGGCGGCGTCGTGGCTGGCGTGGCGAGAGGAAGCACCTCGCCCTCGGCTATGGTGTTGCTGGACGTGTGCAATGTTTCTTTCGTTCTCTGTCGTGGCTTGTGTCGCTGCTGGTGGCCCTGTTTGTGATGCATGGGCTGTGGGCGGGGAGTCTGGAAGGCCTACACATAAGCAGGCCCCCCACCCACACACGCGGTGCCTTCGTCACGTGACACCGTCGTGAGTGCAGGTGGGGGCTGGGCTGCTCGCTCATGAGTGTGGCTTGCCTACGTGTGGTGTGTGGTGCAGTGCAATTCGCCTAACTCTCTCCGTGTGTGGCTTGGATTGGATTGGTTTCTCTTTGGTCTGTTTGAAATGAAGCCTGCCTGCCTGTCTGCCTGTCTGTTTTGCGTATCTTGATGCGTTGCGTGCGGCCTTTATACGAAGGAATGAGTGGAATGAATGGCATGAGTGCCCCCGCCGACCGACTGACCGACTAGCTCTCTCTCTCCCTCTCTCTGATTGCGTGGGAACATCCGTGTGTGTGTGTGTTGTGTGAGTGTGTTGTGTGTGGTGGCTGTGAGTGAGTGAGTGTTCTCTCTCCGCTTCTCATGGATCGGTTCTCTCTCTCTTTCCGACCCACCTGAATCACACAACGACGGGTGGTTAGTGTCGTTCGTCAGTCACAGATCCGGCAGAAAGACAGACAGCAAGCAGTGCATGGACCGGCAACCTTGGCAGCGGGAGGGAGACAACAGCCCGACCCTGCTGGATGGATGCCATCTATCTCTGCATATGTGCTGCACCAATTTTGAAGCGAGAGTGATGCGACGCGATTGGTGGATCGAACGATTGAAGTGGTGATGTGTTTATGTGTCGTCCGTGCGTGGGATGGTGTTGTGTGTGCGTGTGGTGTGATGCGACAACTCAGGATGGGCTGGGATGGGGCTCGGAAAGTGGGCATACAATTCGTTGTGGTGGTGGGAGACTTTTAAGAGACTAATGACTTGAACACACATATTCGGTCAACCGAGTGGCGCGATAACAGACACAAAGAAACTGTCCCTCCTCTCTGTGTGTGAAATGTGTCTTGAGCTTAAATGCACAAATGCACCACACCTCACATACATGAGACACTCACATCACAACCACGCCATGCAAACGGACGAACACACCGATTGCCGCTGTTCCGTCGCTCTGCTCGTGTGGCGTCCGCCCACAGGCCAGCCAGCCCTCACCCCTCCCTCCCTCCCTGTGTACTGTCAGGCGGTCTGTACCTCCATGTCCATATCCAGTGGCTGCATGGCCTCCTCGGCAACAACACACTGAATGAATGCATGGACCCACACAACAACACACAACATCACACAACAGCAAGGTGGGTGGCCGTGCCTCTGACCGTCTGCCGTCAATCGTCTCATCCCCTCTCACCCACGTGATCAGCGGGCGACGAGGGGTCTGCTCTTCGCCGTGTGTGGTGGGACGGTCCTCTCTCACGTATGCGGTCGTTCAGCCCACCACCCAGTTCACCAGCACAGCCGTCCTCAGTCCTCTGGCCGGCCTGGTCCTGCTGCTCATTTGTGTAGTCGCGAGCCGATGCAGATGCAGATGCAGCAGCAGCTGCTGCTGCTGGTGGCAGCGTCGCAGCGGGGCTGGTGGGCGAAGTGGTGAGGGGCTTGGGCAGCTGTAGGGGCGGGCGGTCCTTGAGCGTCTTGTTCCTGACCTCCACGGCCTTCAGCAGGGCCAGGCGGACGCCTCTCCGGGTGGGCGAGATGTGAATGGGCAGAGGGGGGAAAGGGCCCGCAGCGAAGTGGCCGTCGCGCAGAGCGATCATGGTGCCGGGGCCGTCTGTGCTGTTGGCTGCCGCCACGAGGGCGAGCTGCTCCTCCCTGGCGTACTTCACACCATCTTCTCGCTGCTCAGCACGGCATCGTCGTCTGAAGTCGGTGAGATACATAATGTGTCCCTTCATCAATACTGTACACCCCCACCCCGTCTGTGCGGCTCACCGTCTTTCTCGTCCGCATCTCCATCCTCAGGCTCGCCGTCGCTGCCCTCAATGACGACCTCATAGTCACCCTGACCATCTCCGTCGCGACCCTCGTCGGTGTCAGGACGATGCCGAGACCGCAGCGACCGGAGGGGGGGACACCCCATCGTCTTGGCCATGCGGTTGCGCTTGTCAACGGCCTCCTCGAGGGCCTTGTCGATGGCCTCTCGTGTGCGGGGCGTGTGGGTTGATGGCGTGCGAGGCACGTCGTCGTCCGCTGCCTTGGCGGAATCGAATAGACCATGCAAAGTCGTACCAGCTGACGTTGATTCTATCGGTCTCGTTAAGGCGACGCAGCTCGGCCAGGCGCTGCTTGGGCGCAGCGGTCGAGGGCGTCCTTCTCCAGATCAGCAGACGAGCCTGAACACCGGCACACAAAACCACCACACGTCTGTGATAGGGTGGATGGGTGAGTGATCCATTCATATCTGTGTTGCATGGTCACCTACCTGCAGGGGCCTCTCTCCCCCTTGCCCTCTTCTGCGGCTTGCGGCCGTACTCTTCTGCATTGAACCGACAAGTGTGTGCACATCCATCCATCCATATGTTTGTCCCGTGCACCCCGCCCTCCCTCCCTGCCTATGTGTGGCTCACCGTCTGTCTCGTCTTGCTCCTCCTCTTGCTCGACCTCAGGTGCCCCGACACAGCCCTCCATCTCGCCATCCTCACCCTCGCCATGGGCCTCTCCTTCGCCGTGGCAACGCCCCGACTGCAGCGACCGAAGGGGGGGACGGCCAAAGTCCCTGGCCAGCTGATTGCGGGTGTTAATGGCCTCCTCGAGGGCCTTGTCGATGGCCTCTTGTGTGCGGCCTGGCGGTCTAATGGTCCGCGACAGCCGTCCTCCCTTGTGGCAGAACTGGATCTGCCATGCGGAATTGTGCCATCCGAGATTGATAATCCCGGAGCCGTGAAGGCGACGCGCGTCGTTGAGGCGGCGCAGCTCTGCCAGCCGGTGCTTGGCGTAGCGGCCGAGGGCGTCCCTGTCCACCGAGGCACCATCAAACGCATCTGAACACCACACATCCATCCATCCATCCATGAAGGCATCCACTCCCTCCCTCCCTTTGTGTGGCTCACTGTCTTGTTCGTCGTCTTGGTCTTGCTCGTCCCCAGGCGCGACGCTGCTGCCCTCCATGTCGGCATCCTCACCTTGGCCGTCCTTGTCTCGCTCGGCCTCCCCCTCGCCACCTCTCTGAAGCCGAGACTGCAGCGAAGGGATGGGTGCGCAGCCCATGCTCTCAAGGTCGAGAGGGCCCCCCTCCTTGGCCACACCAACACGACACGAATCTAGCGACCAGAACAAGCACACAAGCAGTCCAACACAAAACAACACAGCACATACACATGAATGCACTCGTGTGTGTATGTCTGTGTACCAGAAGATGCTCCTCTCCGTTTTCTTCTCTTCCGCGCTTTGCGGTCGTGTTTGTCTTGCTCCTCATCCTCGTCTCTCTCAGACGCCCCCCGCTGCCGTGCTCGGCCATGTCCATTTCGCCACCGCTGCCATCTCGCTCACCCTCTGTCGGTTCCTCCTTGATGCGGACGGGGGCCCACACACAGCCCTGCACACCACACGCACGACTTGACTCACATTCACAGACTGCTTCAGTGAGTGCCTGCTTACGCCGTGTTTGTTGTAGATTTGGTCGATCCACATGCGGAGGTCGAGAGCCTGTCCCCGGAACTGGGGCGCGTTGCCAAGACAGTCGCTGTTGATCTGGGCGGCCGTCATGCCCCTCATCTCGTGCAAGTGAGACCCGTTGAACCCACTCTGACACACACATACATAAATGCATACAAAAACGAACCACCAGACAGACGCACACATGGCCTCGTTTATATCGATCGTCTGTGTGTCTGTGTGACCTACAGACCGACCAGCTGGTCTGACGTACCTCTCGAACGATGTGCAGGACTCTCCTGGCCAGTTGGCTCTTCTCATCTCGCTCCAGCGCCTTGACCAGGTCGTCATGGTCGAGGTTGACCAGCTGGCGCTCCATACACCGAGCAGGCACCATCTGCTTCTGCTGCTGTTTCTGCTGCCCTTCGGTTCTGCTACTCTCGGAGGCGCCCTGCTGCACGCTGTTTCCGCCACCGCTAGGGGCGATCTTGACTTGGACACCAAGACGAGCAGCGGCCGATGCCCCTCCTCCGTGCTCTGGCCGATTGCCGCCTGGTTGCCCTCTCTCATTCCTGCCCGAAGCAGCGGCCGCTGCCGGTGGTGTTTGGTCAATGCGTCTGTGTCGCCCCAGGGGCACGTTTGACAGCCTCTTGTCCCCGTATGCTGCTCTTGACGGACGGTTTGACGGTGGTGTTGGTGGTGGTGGTGGTCTGGTGGTGCCATGGATCTGGCGGGTCAAGCCAGGCATTGCTGGGGTTATGGGGGGCCGGACCGCTGACCGAAATGAATGGCACCACAACGACACTGCCAAAGCGCTGGCTGAGTGTTGTGCATTCACTTTTCTTTCACCTGGGAGGAAGGCAATGCATGCCCCGTTGAGACTCCCTGGCGCCGGCGGGGGGCCACCCATGCCACCCATCACCACGCCGCCGCGACCTGTCCGGTTCGCAGCATCAATGAATGCATCGAGATGTCGGCCGCACGTCCATCCGTCTGCCTCTCTGTTTGCGCGTACCGCCGAAGAATGATGGTGGTGGTTGCCAGAAGGGGGGCCGCATCGGTGGCATAGCACGCCAGAAAGGGGGGAGGCGTGGGACATTCGCGGCAGCAGATGCCGCTGCATCCCTGACGTCGGACGGACTATGCGACGGCGGCTCGTCCCAATTACCATCCACTTGTCGACTCTCTTGCGGCTCTGAGAAGGGAACGCCATTGTGCTGCTGATCGGTGGCGTCACACATCTGTGCATCCTCAGCAGCAGACACACGGGGTGCGGGGGGCCGCACGGGTGGGCGCGTGGCAGCCGCGAGGAGGGGAGGGGGACGTGGAGGGCGGTAGTGGGCCACGGAGGCACCCTGGGGTGGTCCATTCGCCGCAGCAGACGCTCCTCTGCCTATCGGCCTCTTCTGCGCCTTGCCGGTGTACTCCTCTGCATGTAACCAACACATGCAGCACATTCATCCATATGTTTGTGCAATGTACCCCGCCCTCCCCCCCTGTGTGTGTGGCTCACCGTCTGTCTCATCTTGCTCCTCCTCTTCTTCGTCCTCTGGCGCCCCGACACAGCCCTCCACCTCGCCATCCTCACCCTCGCCACGGGCCTCTCCCGATCCCTCAGCGACGCCCTGGCCATGGCCCGACTGCAGGGACCGAATAGGTGGACGACCCAGGTTCTTGGCCAGCTGGTTGCGGGTGTGAATGGCCTCCTCGAGGGCCTTGTCGACGGCCTCGCGGGTGCGGCCTGGCAGACTGATGTTCCGCCACAGCCGTCCTCCCTTGTTCCAGAACTGGATCTGCCATGATAAGTTGTGCCATCCGATGTTGATGCTCTCATTGCCGTTGAGGCGACGCAGCTCTGTCAGTCGGTGCTTGCCGTAGGCGTCGAGGGCGTCCCTTTGCCTCGCAACAGCGGTACGAGACCAACCTAGAGACCACAATCGGCACAGAAGCGGCCCAACACAACACATACACACGCGTGCGCTCGTGTCGTTCGTGTGTGTGTGTCTGTGTGTGTACCTGCAGCTGCTCCTCTCCGTATCCGCCTCTTGTGGTCGTGTTCGTCTTTCTGCTCTTCCTCCTCATCCTTCTCAGACGCCGCCCCGCTGCCATGCTCGGCCATGTCCATCTCATCGCCATCATTGCCCTCTCCCTCTCCATCGGATGAGGCAATGATGGGGGGAAAGCGGAGCGGGGGAAGGCGAACCTTCTTGGCCAGCAGGTTGCGCTTGTCGACGGCCTCCTGCAGCGCCGCGTCGACGGCCTCTCGTGTGCGAGCTCGCGCTCTGAATGTGCAGGTCTTCGGCTGGTTTTGGAGGTGGATCTGAATGACCCATCCTCCGTTGTTTTGCCAGCCGATGTGGGTTGCCATGGAGCCATTGAGGCGGCGCAGCTCGGCCTGCCGCTCCTTGGCGTAGGCGTCGAGGGCGTCCTTTTCCAGCGCACAAGCACCACCAAACGGATCTGAACACCAGAACACACAGACACATCCAAAGAAACCACACACAGGTGGGTGAGGGGGTGGGGTGATGAGCATGTGTGTGTGTGTTGTGTACGCATCACCTCCAGATGGCTCTCTGCCTCTCTTGGGCGCCTTGCGGTTCCCATCGTCACCACCCTTCCTTCCCATGTGCACTTGGTCCTGCTGCTGCTGCTGGTGGGGGTCTGTCGGTTCCTCCTTCCAGCTGGTCAGCGCGGCATTATCACCCTGGTTGTCTTCCTCATTCTCGTCTTTGTCCTCATCCTCAGGCTCGCCGCCGCTGCCCTCAATGGCGACCTCGTAGTCACCCTGACGATCTTCGTGGCGATCCTCGCCAGGAAGCTCCCGAGACGGCAGCGACCGAATGGGTGGCCGGCCCAGGTCGCTGGCCAGCTCGTTGCGTGTCTGCACCGCCTCCTCGAGGGCCTTGTCGATGGCCTCTTGTGTGCGGGCTTGCGGGCTGATGGTTCTGGTGAGAAGTGATTCGGTGCACTTATAGAACTGGATCTCCCACGCGGACTTGTGCCAGGAGATGTTGATCTTCCCGAAGCCGTTGAGGACACGCAGCTCTTGGAGCCGCTGCTTGGGGTAGGCGTCGAGGGCGGCTGCATGCACCGAACCAACCAACACACTCGCCATTCATCCATGTAGATCTGCCGGCCTCCCACTCACTGCCTCCCTCACCTCTCGTTTCCGTCTTGAAATCTCTGAGTGACTTCCGCCGGAGAAAGACTCTCTTGCCGTCGCTGTCCACGCGGAAGTCGTCCTTGTCAGGGTCAGGGGGGGCCCGCAGCACCTCGGGGATCTTGATGATGAGGGCGAAGAAGCTCCACCCTCCCATGGAATCTCGCGGCTTCACGGCCTTGGGAAGTTTGTTTCTGGGGCGGACGACCAGGTCCCGCAGATAGTACCGGCCGCCGCGCGTGTCGGTCAGGGGGCCGATGGTGACTGTCACAGCGTCTTGGTGGAGGCGTGTTTGGTGGTGTTGCGGGGGGGCGGGGGTGAAGGTGGTCCGCACTTTGGGGTGTGAGCGGTGGAGGCGGGTAAAAATACTGGAAGCCACCCTGTAGGCTCTCATGCACGACTGGCAGAGGCCGTCATCGGCTGTCACCAGGCAGCCCGGGTCGCCGGCTGGTGGTGCAGGTGCACCCGGTGGACAATCCTTTGCCAGACCTGCCTCGCATCAATCACATCAGACCCACCGACAGACATGACACACACCCATGCATATCATCCTGCCCGTGTGCAGGTGTGTGTCTGTGTGCGTGTGTGCCTCCCTCACTCACAGTGGTATTCTTTGGCCGTCTTGCGAGCGGCAAGGATGCGCCGTCTTCCTCGAAGATCCTGGGCTTCCTCCGCTCCATCACTCTCGCCCTCATCACCTGTCGTCGTGGGAGGAAGCAAGGCGCTGCTGCGGAATATCAGCAATTTCATCTCATCCTCTTCCTCCCCATCGTCGTCCTCAAGGTCCTCGAGGGCCGTCGCTGCCAGACAAGACAACACAAGACAGAAAGATGCATACATACATACATGTCCACACGGTGAACAATGTAACGCATCGATGGGTGCGTGTGCGGGCCGGCAATGTGTTGTGCGCGGCTGGCTGACCCCTTAGGTGACGTGACGAAGATGCGACCTCACCCTGACCGCCACCCCCGCCCCTTCCACTTTGCGCCCCTTCGGTCTCAACACGCTCACAACCATCAGGAGGATCGCCGGAAGAGGCCGCATCGTGATGGTGGCCTGGTGGGCAGAGGGCGGGTGAGGAGCGGTCGGTGGTTTGGTCTGATGACTGCCCAGGAATACCGTGGGATGTCTGTTGGACGGGAGGTGACATAGTGAGGTCCGGGATGGCTCGCGGGGCTGTCCTATCAGCCTGAGGCTCCTGCTTGACGCACACAGCACCTGCTGCGAACAGACACACAGGAGAGAAAAAGAAAGAGAACTCTGTCCAAATGTACGTGCATGAATGGGCATGTGTTTATCTGCGCACGGCATCTTTCGGATGTGTTGTACCTGTAGATGCGGGTGGCCGTGGCGCGCCGCCCTCCCGGCTGCTCATGACGCACAGATCTCTGCCGTCCGGGCCTCAAGCCTCGACGAGCCCGACTGACGTCAGCAGTGAAAGAGGCCGGCGAAAGATCAGCGCATTCCCTTGCCTCTTGTACTAAGCTCGCAAGTCTTGGGTTTCAGCCAGAGAGCGCAAAAGGGTAGGCAAAAGGTTCGCTTCGAGTTAAAAGTCCACGATCGCCAAAGTGCGGCCAAGTAGCGTGGATCGCGCTCATTTGCGAGCTCAAAAGCTAGAGTCAGGGGAGGCATCTTCTAGAGCTCTCTCTGCGGAGCTCTCTGTGGGGTTGGTTCTCACCACTGCAGAAGCGACCTCTGCAGTCTGTCTGTTTTGTATCGCGTTGAGACAGCGGTCGAGTGACGGCATCCA